ATCACTCGATTCTATAGGATGCCGCAAGGGAATCAGGGCTACGGGGGAAATGGGACAGGCTAAGAGGGATGGGGTGCAGGAACAGTGTGGGGGCGGGGGTGAGTTCAATCTTCATTAGGAAGGTCAGGGCGGACCTCCATGAGAAGGAGCACTCACAGGGGTTGAGGGCATGAAGCATACCCCCACCTGCCTCAGAAAGTCATGCCACCCACTTGCCCACTCATACAGCGATTCCCTGTCGGGGCCTCGAGCTCGGGCACCATCCTGGCTACATACACACTCCCTTGTCAGTCCCCACCCAGCCCATATCCGGGCAGCTCCTGTGTACCCAGCCTTGTGCTGGGTATGGGGGCCGAAGGGGCTGGGACCAGCAAGGAAAAGAACAGAGGGTGGGATGTGTTCACAGGTGCAGGTGGCGGAGGTAGGGAGAAACCCAGGCTGGGTGTCACGAGGCCTGGGTGTCTGTCCCAGCTCTCCATGGCCAGGTCCTTGGACCTGTCGCCAGAGCAGGTGAAGCCTGCTTCCTGTTTCATGAGCCAGGCCCGAGACTGTTCCCCCTCTCTGCTTCTGGAAGTTGTTCTGAAACAATGATCAGATAATGACCATGTAAGTGTGGTAATAAAAGGCCGCTGGGACATAAGGTGCCTTAATCACTCTCAGGTAACAATCACTTACCTGGCTGCAAAGGTCATGCAGAATAAAGCAAGGGAAAGTCCTGTCAGAGGCAGGGGTGCCCCAGAAAGGCTTCCTGTAGGAGGGGAAGCTCAGGCTGGACCCAGCGAGGTGGGAAACGCACTCCACGTCCGGACACCTGACTGCCTGAGTTGGGGGGGGGCGCTGGGGCAGGCTATCTGGATAGTGACTGAGTGGATGGGTTTAATGGACTTATTAAGTTTAAAACAGGGTGGGGGCTGCCCATGGGCCACAGAATGGATACATCCATTGTCCGAACGGGCCACCATGCGGAGATGAGGAGGGAGAATCCCCACTCACACTCCACCCTGAGGATGACACCCACAAAGAAGCAAGCCGTGAAAGATCCAAACTGTATCATTTCCTTTATAGGAAGACCCCAAATGGGCAAAAGTAGTCCATGTGTTAGAAGCCAGGACAGCATTCCCCTGCGGGGAGCAGCAGCTGGGAGGGAGCCCGAGGAGGGGGCAGCTAAGTGCCAGCAATGTCTTGTTTCTTGATTTGGGTGCTGCTTGTACAGGTGTGTTCAGTGTGTGAAAATCCATCGAAGTATATATTTAAAATGTGTGCACTTTTCTGTAATTTTATAATGAGTGTTCTGTAAGTTGAATAAGTGTTTTAAAGATTTATTTATTTGAGAGAGAGTGCACATGCGAGCTTGGGGAGGGGCAGGGGGAGAGGGAGAGAGGCGGGGAGAGAAGCAGACTCCTTGCTGCGCACGGAGCTCGAATGCGGGGCTCGATCTCTCGACCCTGAGATCATGACCTGAGCCAAAAGCAAGAGTCAGACCCAGAACCACCTGAGCCACCCAGGCGCCCCAAGAAGTGTTTTTAAAAGAGAAAAGGGCTAGATTAGATGTGTCTGCCTCCCTTCCCCCTGGGGTGCCTGACCAGGCCAACGGGGGGCCCAGCTCTGTGACCCAGTACCCAGCCCTGGGCCAGCACGCCCGCTGCTCAGCAAGAGTTCATGGGTCCTTAGCTCACATTGCTCGAGGGACTATGGAATGTTGGGCTCTAGAGTACAAGATGTATGTGAGATGAACTTTGCCTACAGCGGCTTGAATATAATACCCCCAGGCAGCACGTCCCTGTACCTCATGCTCTCCAAAGGCAGGGACCGGTCTGCCGTGGGTGCACCTAGCCCCGTGTCTGACTCATAGCATACTCTCAACAAAGCCTCATTGAGTGGAAAACCGATGCTCCAGAAAGGTGGGTCCTGCATTAGGGGCTGACTTCAGAAGAAGGGCGTACCAGATGGGAGACATGGCTCCTAAGCCTGACCCCCCCCTCAACCCCTTCCCTGTAGTTATTGGGATTTTGACAGGTGGGAGAGAGAGAAACCAGGTTGAGCAAAGGTGTAGGAGTAGGACCCTCGGAGCAGATTTAGAGTGAGGTGAGTTGGCAGCAGGGGAAAGGGGCAGTGGGAAGAAAAGCCCGTGGGGTGCTTGGACTTGGCTCCATGAGCAGTCCGAAGCACTGCAGGTTCGTGGGCATGAAGCAAGAGACACAAAGCTGCCTTTCAGGAAGAGTCCTCTCTCGGCTATGGCCAGGGACATCATGGGGCAGAGGGCTGACCCAGATGGAATTCAGGAGTAGAAGGGGAGGGGCGCCTGGGTGGCTCAGTCGTGAAGCGTCTGCCTTCGGCTCAGGTCATGATCCCAGGGTCCAGGGATCGAGCCCCGCATCGGGCTCCCTGCTCAGCGGGAAGCCTGCTTCTCCCTCTCCCACTGCCCATGCTTGTGTTCCCTCTCTCGCTGTCTCTCTGTCAAATAAATAAATAAAATCTTAAAAAAAATAATAAAAAGAGTAGAAGGGGAGTCTGCTTCTCCCTCTCCCTCTCCCTCTGTGCTCTCTACCTCTCTATCTCTCAAATAAATGAATAAAATCTTTTTTAAAAAAAGAAAAAGAGTAGAAGGGGAGCTGAGGTAGGGGAGGCAGGGTGTGCAGACCACTCCGTGAATATTTTCTGAAGATGGGAGAACTGAAGCACCTAGATAGTTCAGTAGTTCACATGGACAGATGATTCAAGGCCAGCTGGGGGCCTCGAGGACCTTAGTAACATGGTTGTACTTTGTCTTCTAGGCTTTAGGGCACCACTGAAGGTTTAAGAAGAAGATACAAGATCATCCTTTTGTTCATTCATTTATTCCACAAATATTTCATTTAACTTATTTAACCACGTTTTGTTCTGAGCACCTGCAATGTGCTTGGCATTGTTCTAAGTACTTAGGACACATCAATAAATGAAGTAAAGATTACATGTCAGCAGGAAAGGATGAGAGAAAACATCATAGGCCAGTAACTCATATCACATGTTAGAGGTGACAGGTGCTATCGAGAAAAGCGGAGAAGGTAAGGAGAGTCACTGACGTGTAGGAGGGACTGGATGGGTGGCTGGGACAGGGAGGCAGAAGGGGGGGCGGGGGGACGGGGGGGCAGATGCAGAAGAGGGAGGAACAGCCCTGGGGTACTCCCATGCCAAGAGGGGGAATCAGCCAGGAGGAAGGGAAAGACTCCTTGTGTGGGCAGGGCTCTGGGCTCCTAGGATGCAGAAGGGAAGGGACCAGAACCCAAGGAAATTGCTCAGGAAGAGGTGAGGGCCTGGGCTAGAACGACGGTTGCAGGGCCAGGATGGGAGGGACCACAGGGAGATGGTATCATCCCAACGCTGCCCTCAAAGAAACCAAGGCCCAGAGAGGCAGAGGTTAAGCATGTTGCCCGACGTCACACGAAACATGGACAGAGTAAAAAAAAGTGTCAACTCTGAATATTTGTTTAACAAAAGCCTGTGGTGTTTCTACCCCGGGAAGATGAAGACACTCAAATGGGGAGGAAAGGGCGGGTGCGGCCTCATTATCAAACAATAAATCAAACAAAAATAGTAAGAACAAATTGCTTTAAACTTTGGAAACAGATGCCGGGACAGAGTTAACACATGTGGACATATTTACCCTTGGAAATTGAACTTGGGGTAGGGAGTGATGAGGCGGGGTACCGTTTTCTTTTCTGTGGTTTGACTTTTAAGTTTTGAAGGTATAACGTGGACAAAAATAAAAAATGGCGATGATTTAAACGGGCAGTTAGGAAGTAGGGAGTTTTATACTCTCCTGAGTTAACCGTTGTCCCGCCTGGGTGAGATTGTGGGTGGTTTTTTTCGGTTGTTGTTGTTACTTGCTTATATTTTCTGAGTTTTCTGGGAAGGACAGCTAATGCTTTGTGAGAGGGGAATAAAAGATCAGTTTGGGGGCGCCTGGGTGGCTCAGTCGTTAAGCGTCTGCCTTCGGCTCAGGTCATGATCCCAGGGTCCCGGGATCGAGCCCCGCATCGGGCTCCCTGCTCAGCGGGGAGCCTGCTTCTCCCTCTCCCACTCCCCCTGCTTGTGTTCCCTCTCTCGCTGTGTCTCTCTCTGTCAAATAAATAAATAAAAATCTTAAAAGAAAAAAAAAAGATCCGTTCGTTTGGGGCCGTGGAAGACAGAATCTCACTAAAATGCGTGTTTGAATGTATTCCCCCATCTCCTTCTGAGAGGCTTGGTAGGTGGAGTTATGTTCAAAGATGGGAGGGGGTCTTGTCCAGACCAGTGGTTCCCCAAGACAGGAGACGATATTCAGCACTCAAACCAGGACAGTGCCGACCGGGGATGGTTGGTCTGAGGCTTTGTGATTTACAAAGCTCGCCCTCTATCCCTTTGTTCCTTTGAGCTCCTTTTGCTCGGTGAGGTAGGTGGGGTGATAGAGGACCTTCCTGAATTTAAAGGAGAAGCAAAGAAAGCTCAGAGAGGCTCCCTAGCCCTTCCCTGGGAGAGGCTTAGAGAAGTGGGCTCTCCAACCATATGCATCAGTTGATTATCTGGAGAAAATAAAACACCGGTTAAAAAAAAAGAGTGGAAATCTGGAATGACAGAAAGCGGAGCAGTGGTTGCCTGGGAGGGACGGGCTGCAAAGGGGCACAAGGGAGCTCGTGGGTTGGGGGAAATATTCTGTATCTGTCCTGTAGCAGAGGCTTTGCCAGTGCCTACAAGCACCAAACCCCTCGGATCGTGCACTTTACACGGGTGCAGTTTACTGTACTTAAATTATGCCTCCATCAGAGAGGGAGGAAAATGCAGAAACAGGGACGACCAGGGCCCCGTAGGCGAGTGTGCACTCCACCAGCACCTGCTCGTTTGCTCGCTGACAGTTCGTCATCCTCACGCCTTCTGACCCCCAGAGCTCGGGGAGCACCTCTCGGCCCCGCCACCTTCCTGGAGGGAGGGGCTCCATTCTGCAGCCGACTGCCACACCACTGAACTGTCCTCTCTGTTCCCAGGACTCCAATCTGTCTGTGCACACCAACAACCCGGACCTCACTCTCTGCTTCCAGAACTCTCTGCTGGCCTGGGCGCCCTGCATCTACCTGTGGGCCGCCCTGCCCTGCTACCTGCTCTACCTTCAGCACCATGACCGAGGCTACATCGTCCTCTCCCAACTCTCCAGGCTCAAGACGGTCAGGGGCTCAGGGATCTTCTGCGGGCGGGACTGACCTGGAAGGTTCTCCTTTTCACATACCCTCCCCCCCCACCCCCCCCCCACCCCCACCGCCAAAACCACCGTCAGTGGCTGGACAGGATTTCCTAGCTACACCTGCCCTGCAGCTCAGGGCCGTGGCACCCTGCCAACTGGGTCTACAGTCAAATGAGACAGTCTCTGCTTGTGGAAGTTCAAGAAAGTTCTCCGGCAACATTCTCCCCACCCTTGGGAAGCTTCTGGCCGGTGCCCAGCCTAGCTTCCGGGGCCAGACCCAGGGCAGACCTGGTGGTTTCAGAATAAAAGGCCCTTCTCTGGTGGGAACTGTCCCTGCTTTTGGAGATGGAGTCTCCAATACGTGCCCTGTTTGTAGGCCTTGGGCGTCCTGCTGTGGTGCGTCTCCTGGGCTGACCTCTTCTACTCCTTCCACGGCCTGGTCCACGGCTGGGCCCCTGCCCCCATCTTCTTTGTCACCCCCTTGGTGGTGGGGATCACCATGGTCAGTGTGGGGCCCAGGAAGCGGATGTGGGAGGGTCTCCAGTGGGCTGTGGGACTGTGATGGGGGAGGGCTGGACACCGTAGCAGTGAGAAGCGGATGGGGTGACTGCAAAAACATCTGGCCGTGTGGGGTGGGGAAGACAGAGGCAGGTCCAGATGTGGGTGCTCTGGCCCAGCCTTCCTTGCCTTCCCTACACAGCTGCTGGCCACCCTGCTAATCCAGTATGACCGGCTACGGGGGGTACAGTCCTCGTGGGTCCTCATCATCTTCTGGTTTCTATGTGTGGTCTGTGCCATTGTCCCCTTCCGCTCCAAGATCCTTTCGGCCATGGCAAAGGTAAGGGGAGGGAGGGGAACCTGCGCGGGGGCAACGCTGTCTGGAGGATGGCCTCCGGGCTCAAGGTCACTGCTGGGTCCCGGTCTGCCCCTCCCCTGCTCCCAGGACCTCCCCTTCTGTTCGGTTCTTTCTGTGTCGTCCCCTACTTGCTGCATCTCTGCCGGGAAGCAGGCTGGGAACCTGGCAGTGAGGGCCCGTGTAATAGGGGGAAATGGGGCCAGACACAGCCCCTGTGGGATGTTCACGGGCCTGCAAGGGGCCGTTCTCAGCCCCAGCTGCCACCACCGAGTGCGGCGTCTGACGGGGTGTCGGCCAGCGTCTGGGTAAGGAACACATGGGTGCAGACACGCATGAAGAGTTGCGTCCTACCTGAAAGTCCCATTATCCCGCTCCCCCCTTTCTTCCCTTCCCCCTCAATTGTCTGGGCTTCGTCTTGACCTTCGCTGCGGTGATGGGGTGGGGTATTTCTCCATGTCAAGGGGAGGCAGTCAAATATGAAAGTCAAAAGGGCAGGCTCCGGATGCTCCGCCTACTGTCTCTGTGATCCTGGGCAAGGTGCTTAGCCTTTGGGAGGCTCATTTCCTCTCTTGTAAACAGGGTATCCTAAGATTTCCTACCTCATAGGGAGGGTTGGACAAGGTGATGGAGGTGGGGTGCTTAGCAAGTCCTCACTGAACAGTGGCCCCCTTGTGACCTTTCCCCATCTCTCAGAACCCTCTGGGTGGGAGACCCAGGTGCCGCCTGGGTGCTGCTGCCTCCTACCCCAGAGACTTCTGATGCCCCAGAGGACCCCTCGGGGCAGAACTGCAGGCCCAGAGCTCCCCACGCCTCTGATGTCCCTCCCCACTCTCCCCCCAGGGCAAGATCTCAGACCCCTTCCGCTTCACCACCTTCTACATCTACTTCGCCCTGGTGCTCTTTGCTCTCATCCTGTCCTGCTTCAGGGAGAAGCCACCATTTTTCTCCCCAAAGAATGTCAACCCTGTGAGTTTTCCATGGAGGCTGGATGGTAGGGGGGTTCCACAGCCCACGCCTCAGCCCAGCCCTTACCAGCAGCCCCCATCCCTTCTAGTTCCTTCCACCCCCATGTCATCCGCACAGCTGGGGCTTGGGGCAGGAAGGAACAAGGGTTCCTCCTCCCTCTTGGAGAGGATTTTTTCTGTCCTACCCTCTCATCTTCTAGAATCCCTGTCCAGAACTCAGCGCTGGCTTCCTCTCCCGCCTGTCTTTCTGGTGGTTCACAAAGTGAGTTGGCTCTTCCTCCAGCCTGGGCCTGAGGGAGGAGGACGTGGGAGGTAGGGAGGAAGGGGGAGCAGGCCAGAGGTTGAGCCTGGCTTTTTCCCCCTCCCCCAAACCCTGGCCCCATAGGGCCCTGCGGGCAGGCGAGGTTGGGCACACCTGTCTGTTTGGGCTGGGGGCTGAGTGCAGAGGCTGGTTTGGCCCAGCTCCCATCCCAGGCTGTAGGCCAGCCCTGCATCTGTCACATCACAGGAACAGGCCCAGGGGGCTAGAGGGGAGCTGGAGTGAGTACCCAACTCTTTGGTCTGGGATGAGCTAGCAGCTTGTCATTTTCTTGGCTGCCCCTCTGAGTGGCTTGGGCAGGATAATTGTGTCTGTGATCTGGGTGACAGCTCATTAGCCACACCGCACTGAGGAGGCACCTGGGTCTGAGACTCCATCCACCGGGTCCAGTCAGTGTGAATTTCATCACCAGGCCCCGAGGGTCAACGGGGCACCTGGGGAGGAGGGGGAGAAGGGCCCGAGGTAAGAACTTGACATGGGAGGCAGTGACCTCCCGCCTATTGCCTGGGGGAATAAAGGACACACACAGCCCTTGGCCAGAGCACCTTAGGGAGACCCTCCTCTGGAGACCTTGAGGCTCTGGAGACCCCGGTCCCCAGCTCGAGGCTGCTAAGCTCTGCCCCTGTGTGGGGCTGCTGCCTGCCCCAGGATGGCCATCCTTGGCTACCGGAGACCCCTGGAGGAGCAGGACCTCTGGTCCCTGAAGGAGGAGGACTGTTCGCAGAAGGTGGTGCGCAGGCTGCTGGAGGCCTGGAAGAAGCTTCAGAAGCAGGACGCGGGGTGAGGCCCTCCCAGGGGTCCCCAATCCCCTCCCCACCCCACTACACACACCCCACGTCTCCTGCAGGGAAGGCTGCTAGCCCTGAGGTGATCACAGGGGTGGGGGTGGGGAGAAGAGCAGGTGCAGGGGGTCCAGAGGTGGAACACTCAGGCCGGAATGGGGCCAGCTCTCCCCAGCTCTACTGACTCCAGAGAGTGGCTGACACTTTTGTGGCCCTTAGTCTGTCCCAGGCATGGCCCTAAATGTGTAGATGAAGTCAATCTCTAACAGCCCCGCAGGGGAGGCTCAGTTGTCTCCAGGTTACAGACGCGGACACAGAGGAATGAAGGTTGCACAATGCACCCACCGTCCCCTAGTGGCTGGTGGCAGAGCTGCCGTCACACCCAGGTGTCTGGGCCCCTGGCTCGTCCCGCTGCCACTACCCTGCCCAGCCTGAAAGGTGGTTCCCAGGGACTTCCCGCAGAAAGGAAAGGGGCCAGGGGAAGAAGGTTGAGGCCAGTCTCTCCTCTCAATCCTGCCTCTTCCTGTTTGGAGCAGGGGCTGAAGGAGATGACCCTCTTGCTGAAGGGTCTCCCCCCTGGCAGCTTTGCACTGAGGACAAGGAACCTGTCTGGCCAACTGCTCAACCCGAGAGCTGGAGCTCAGGGTCCTCCTTCCCTCCCCATTTCTGACCCCAGGACTGAACCCCCTCCCCTCCCACCCATAACCGGGGGGCCCAGGACTTCAGTGCTTGCTCAGCCCAGAGCCCCTAGTTGGCGCCTGGCTGGTGGAGGAGCCGGGGTCCTGGGCTCGGTCCTCAGTGCCTCGGCTTCCCTGGCTTGGAGCCTCGGAGAAGACATAGAGACCCCGTCTGTAGGCTGCACCCCCTCGCTTCCTCTCCACGCCAGGTTTCCCCCCTCGCTGCTCGGCTCCCCACTGACTAGGTCACTCTCCATCCCCGCCCCTGTCTCCCTTCTCTGTCAGCGTCCCTGGAGCCACCCTGCAGAGGTAGGGAGAGGGCTGGGAATTGCTGGAGTTAGAACCCTTGGGCTAGCAGTTAGGGCAGCCCGGGCACCTGAAGATAGAGTCTCTCGTGGGAATTCATCCCTCTCCCAGTCCTGAGAGCCCAGAAAGCCGCCGCCCGCCCCCGCTCCTCGCCAGCCCCAGCTGGGGCTCGGCTCCTGGGGCATACGTGCTGTTTCTACCCACGGCTCCTTCCTCCCTGAACCAGACGCAAGGCTGCGGCGGCATCCGGGAAGAGAGTGTCCGGTGAGGATGAGGTGCTGCTGGGGGGCCAGCCCAGGCCCCAGCCGCCCTCCTTCCTGTGGGCCCTGCTGGCCACCTTCTGTTCCAGCATCCTCATCAGCATGTGCCTCAAGGTGATCCAGGACCTGCTCTCCTTCGTCAATCCACAGCTGCTCAGGTCTGACCACACGCGCTCTGGCTGCCACGCTCCCCTGGGTAGTGGGGGGGGTGCGGCTGGATGTCCCCGAGGACTGAGCCCAGAGGGACAACACGTAGTGAAATCAATCCTAGACCAGGACCGAGGGGCCTGTCCCTGCTCGCCGTGTGACCTTTGGCAAATGACAATGTCCCTGCACCTCAGTTTCCCGATTCACATTAAAAAAAAAAAAAGCTGTCTTTAAATCCCCCCAACGATCCTACAGAGAGGTGACCCTCTTCCCATTTTACAAGAGAGGAAGCAGGAAGCAGGAAGCCTCAAAGCAAAACAAACGCACAAGGAAGCAGAAACTCAGAGAGGCGAGCTGGTCCCAGGGCACACAGCTGGTTGGGATGGATTGGAGTCCAGGGCTCTGAACTCCAGCTGTGGTGCTTTCCCGTTGATAGGCTCTGTGATCTGTTGTGTGGGTGGCTTGGACTGGGAGGAGCTCTCAAGTGAGGGGGTAAGAAGGAGAGCTGCCTAGCAGCTGAGCCCCCCAATGCCTTGCCCCTCCATTCGTGCGTGTCTGCATTCTCACTCAAAAAATACTTACTGAGCCCCCAGTGAACCGGAACGGAGCCAGACACGAGGCATCCGGAGATAAATAAGATAGGGTCTTACAGTCTTGCAGGAGAAACGGACATGTAAACCCATCAGAGTGGCGTGCAGGCCGAGGTGTAGTCAGGTGTCCTGCAATCCCCAGGAGGGGCAGGGAAGCCAGCCTGGGAAGGAGCAGGAGCAGGGACGTCCCTGCTAGCTGCGGAGGTCATCAAGTTTGGAAGGACAGGTAGGTGTTAGTTGACTAGGTGAGGAAGGAGGGGAGAGTGCAGCCCATGCAAAATCACCAAGGCTTCAACCGACATGACTCAAGAACTCCAGGTATCTCTGAATTCTGGAGGAAAGGGTGACCAGAGGGAGGGGGAGAGAGGGAGAGCTAAGGAAATCCTTGAAAGATTTGAAGCCAGGCAGGGGCATCTGGTTGGCATTTCAGAAGGATCTCCCTGCCAGTCCTGCAGGGGTGGGGGGGTGAGGAGGGGCTTGATGGATGGAAAGGGGCTGATCAAGTCAGAGGAGAGTCCAGGCCAGGAATGACATAGGACTCGGGCACTGCTGGGGAATGGGTGTGTGGCAGGGGGAGGGAGGGGTCGGGCGCCACCTGGGTTCTGACTTGGATAACTGGAGGGCGACGGATCTCTTTCACTGAGATTATGAATGCAGTGGAAAGAAGGGGCTGGGCACCGGGCAAGGTGGTGAGTTGAGACTTGGCTACTGTTGGGGCCGAGGTGCCGGAAGCCCCCAAGGGGACATTTCCAGCTAGCTGGAGACCGCGTTTTCAGAGCCATCAGGTAGAAGCCCAGAGTCCCGTATCTGTGGCTGGGCTCTCCCAGAGGGCTCATGTAGGGGCCCCGGCCAGAGCCCTAGGGAACTGTGACAGGCAAGGGGTGAGCAGAAGGCTGGCTTGGACGGGCCAGAGCTGGGGAAAGAACGGATCGTGGAGCAAGCACAGAGAATGCTTCTGGGATGAGGCAGGCCTCCAGTGCAGCAAGCTGACCAGTAAAACAGAGCCTGAGGAGGGCAACATGGAGTTTGTTAGTGAGCGCCAAGACTGGAGGCTGAGACAGAGGGGAAGGGCCTAGAGCAGGGGGTCTGCCTTGGAGAGCAGGGGCCATGGAGATCTAGAAACTTCCTGTAGCGGAAATGTATTCATTTTCTGTGGCTGCCGTAACAAATTGACACAAACTGGGGGGCTTAAAACCACAGAAATTTATTCTCTCACAGTTCTGGAGGCCAGAAGTCTGAAATCAAGTTGTTGGCGGGTTGGCTCCTTCTAGAGGTTCTGAATGAGAATCTGTACCAGGCCTCCTAGTTCCTAGTGGTTGCTGGCAATCCTTGGCATTCCTAGGCTTGTAGACATATCACTCCAATCTCTGCCTCCAGCATTCTCCCCGGTGTGTGTGTGTGTGTGTGTGTGTGTGTGTGTGCACGCACTTACATCTGTGTCTCTGTGTGCAAATCCCTTTCTTCTCTCATAAAGACACCAGTCACTGGCTTAAAGCTCACCCTACTCCCGTATGACCTCATTTTAACTTGATTGCATCTGCAAAGACCCTGTCTTCGAATAAGGTCACATTCACAGGTGCCAGACGTTAGCACTTGAACATTTTTGGGGGAGATGCAGTCAACACACAGCAGGAGGAGAGGCCTGGCTACAACTATGGGGGTAGCTCCATGGGGTCAAGGGGAGGTTTGTCCCAACACGGAAGAGACTTGGTCATGCCAATGGGTGAAGGTACAGAGCTGCCAGCAGAGACGGCTAAATCGATGATCAGGAGAAAGGCGGGCAACGATGGAGCATGTTCCTGAGCAGATGGATGGGGGTCAAGGCTCAGCAGGACAGACCGGGCTTGGAAAGCCAGAGGGACACCTGCTCTCCTGAGGCAGAGGAGAAAGAGAGCAAGGGCTTGGAGGGAAGGCTGTGGTTGGCAGGGAGTTCTCAGTGGGTGGCTCAGTGGCAAGACATAAGTGGGCAGCTACCGAGCAGGGTGGGGAGTGGGGGCAGTGGGAAGGCAAGAGAACAGAGGTGAAGGGAGCTGGGGCACAAGAGGTGGGTTAGGACCCTGGGGAAGGTCACCAGGCGGCCCTGGGGGCCACTGATGTTGGAGAGGGTGGATTTTGGATTTGAGGCGGGGAGAGTCTGTGGGGTCACGTGGTAGGCTCTAGGGCCCTCAGCGGCCAAGGAGAAGATGCAGGAAAGTCTAATCTGTGGACATGTGGCATTTCTTCCCACCGTGTGGTCCAAGAGGCGAGAAAGGCAGGCAGGTAGGCTGGCGGTGAGAGCAGTGGAGGGGCGGGCAGTGGGGCCATGGAGGGTAGGGAAAGAGGGCAGGACAGAAGGGAGGAAAAGTTGGAGGGTCATGGTCTTGAGGCAGCACTGGGCTGAGTCTGGCTGTGGGGGGTGGGGTCTGGGTGGGGGTGTGGGGGGCCAGCAGCCCCCGCCTGGAAGGTTTCGGAGGCAGCTCAGAGTGGAGGCTGAAGGCGGAAGGGGAGAGCGGTCGTAGAGGGAGCAGCCTGGGGGAGCCTCCCCACCTTCATGCCTCTCTCCCTTCCTTGCAGCATCCTGATCAGGTTTATCTCCAACCCCATGGCCCCCACCTGGTGGGGCTTCCTGGTGGCCGGGCTGATGTTCGTGTGCTCCATGATGCAGACTGTGATCTTACAGCAGTATTTCCACCTCATCTTTGTGATGGGGGTGAAACTTCGGATGGCGATCATAGGTGTCATCTATAGGAAGGTCAGCTGGAACAGGGCAGCGGGGGGCTCTAGAGGCCAGCTCGGGGGGAGCGTTGGAGAGGCTCGCGGGTCCAGTGCATCACCCTGCTGTCCACCTGCAGGCTCTGGTTATCACCAATTCAGCCAAGCGGGAGTCGTCTGTGGGAGAAATTATCAACCTCATGTCTGTGGACGCCCAGCGCTTCATGGACCTTGCTCCCTTCCTCCACCTGCTGTGGTCCGCACCCCTGCAGATCATCCTGGCCATCTACTTCCTCTGGCAGGTGACTCTTGAGCTCTGGCCTCTGCCCCCTTCCTCTGACTTTGACCCTGCTGAGAAAGGACAAGAGAGGGCAAATCTGGGGTCAACAGAGGGCTGCATAATGGACACAAGAGCTTCCCTAGATATTCGGGTCAAGGACAGGACTGCAAGGATGCTGGTGTCTGCAACTGAGTCTTTCCAGCCTCTGTGGTTAGCCTTCTCAGAGGCCAGGGGAGGAAAGAGGGACTTGGAGGCAGGGTGGGTGCGAGTCTGGCTGTCATTGTCAGTCGGTCTGTATTGGCCTTCCTGTGTGTCTGGACACCCTTCTGTGTTTGCCCGTTTGTCCCTGTCTGTTGTCATTATCTGTTGGCTGGCAGCTTCTGGCCGTGTTCTCAGCATTTGGGCTTTCTCTGTATGCCTGCTTTTCGCTATCCGTTTGGCTGACTCCCATCTTTTGCTTCCTTCCCAACTCCGTGTTTCTGAGCAATAGGCTTCTGTCTGTCTGTGGGATTCTGTGCACATATTTTAGTTACCTGTCTTATCAACCCACCCATGCCTCCTCAGAACCTGGGTCCCTCCATCTTGGCTGGGGTGGCTCTCATGGTCTTGCTGATCCCACTCAATGGAGCTGTGGCCATGAAGATGCGTGCTTTCCAGGTAAGGGCTCTCATGGGTTTGCTGATCCTGCCTGGAGCACCTGGTCGCCTGCCTGGAGGGCGGGGCGGGGGCGGGGGGAAGGCCGTTCATTAACCTTGGGCCCTTCAGTTGCCTTGCTTACTGAGTAAGGATGGCTGCAAGCCGCTTCCACAAGCCTTAGCTCACTCCATCCTCCCAACACCCCTGAGAGGGTTTTAGCAATATTCTCACTTTGCAGCTGAGCAACCAAAGCCCAAAGAGATGAAGACAGTCCAGAGTCAGGCCCAGTGGGGACTCAAACCTGGGGCTTCTGGTCTCATGAGAGCCTCCTCCCACCACACTGTGCCCAGTGTGAAGAGCCAGTCATCCAGACCTTTATTTGCAAATATTTATCGGAGTCTTCAGTAGCTTCCCACTGCGAGTAGAATAAATGACAAACTCCCTGTGACCATCCACCAGGCCCCTGCTCCCCCGCCAGCCCTCAACCCCTGGAGTATGGCCAAGTGGCAGCCACTCTGGCCTTCTTTCTTCTCTCCAAAACGCCAAGCTATGTGTATCTCTGGGCCACCCCACACACTGTTCCCTGGAACGCACCTCAGCCCTTCCTTGCTTGCTCACTCCTCCCCTTCCTTCCCCAGCATAATCTCTGATTTCCCAGTCCCCACCCCATTACTCTCTCACGGAATCCTGTTGTTTCCCTTCAGAATATGCGTGGCTCACTTGGTTAAGCATCTGACTCTTGATTTCGGCTCAGGTCATGGTCTCCGGGTCATGGGATGGAGCCCTGCATCATCGGGCTCTTTGCTCACTCAGCAGGGAGTCTGCTAAAGATTCTCTCTCTCCCTCTCCCTCTGTCCTTCCCCACCCCACCCCCGAGCTCTCTCTCTCTCAAATAAATAAATCTTAAAAAAAAAAAGAATACACACATGGATTTACTAAGCATTTATTCAGATAACTGCTTCCTATCTGCCTCCCCCCTCAGACCGTCAGCTTCATGATGGCTGGGGCCTTGCTTGAGTTCTTCATCATTATGTGCTGCCTGTCTAATAGTGGCCGGGCACATGGTAGGCATTCACTAAATCGGGTTGAATGGATCATCAATTTGGTGTGCTGTGCCCTGGGTGAGGGTCTGGGGAAACAGAGACAAGTAAGGGATCTGCACCCTCAGCAGGCTCCCGGTCTCATGGTGGAGTCAGGCATGCCCGGGGATCTCCACGGGAATGATAGGAAAGAACAACATGGCTTAGAAAGCCAGGAAAGGTGACAGAGGATGCAGCCTGGGAGGGTCGGTGATGGAGGCACGGAGGTTGGAGCTGGACTCCGTGCGCAGAGGAGAAGGGGCACCCGGGGCTGAGGGGCAGCACCGGCCCTGCAGGAGGTGGGAGGAGGCGGGAGGAGGCACGGGAGCCTTCTGAGTCGCTGCAGTGCATTGTGAGTGTATGGAAGGGGGGAGCCCCTGTGGGTAGAGGTCTGGGAAGGGGAGCAGGGCACCCCACTGCCACTCTTTCCACAGGTAGAGCAAATGAAGTTCAAGGACTCACGCATCAAGCTGATGAGCGAGATCCTGGCTGGCATCAAGGTGCTAAAGCTGTATGCCTGGGAGCCCAGTTTCTCGGAGAAGGTGGAGGGCATCCGGGAGGACGAGCTCCAGCTGCTGCGCAAGTCTGCCTACCTCCAAGCCATCTCCACCTTCACCTGGGTCTGCACCCCCTTCCTGGTGAGGCTCTCCACCTCAGGGCTGGTCTTCTGCCTCCCGCCTGGCCAGCCCAGCCCTCTGGGCCCAACAGACTCCATTCTGACACCCACCCTCCACCCCCTCCCCAGGTGACCCTGACCACCCTTGGGGTGTATGTGTCTGTGGACCAGAACAACGTGCTAGATGCTGAGAAGGCCTTTGTGTCCGTGTCCCTGTTCAATATTTTAAAGATTCCCCTCAACATGCTGCCCCAGTTAATCAGCAACCTGATCCAGGTAAGCTTGGGTAGAACTGGGCGTTCTGCTGGAGTTCTGGCAGGTTGTTGGGGTCAGGGGATAACCAAAGAGGGTTCCTGGAATTGAGGGGGTAGGTATTTGGCACGAGGCCATTAGAATCAGAGGTCATTTGGAGTCAGAGGGGGACAGGTGAGGTCCCCAGAAACCTGAGCTCTGAAGACAACCTCCTCCTACCAACCTAGACCCTAACTTTGGCAGCGGGAACCAGAGAAGACTCAGTCATGGGAGGGGCCCCAGCACCCCATCTGGGCCCTTAGGATGCCCTGCCTCTCCCAGGAAGTCAGGGAGGGGTGGGGGAGGCTGTAGGAAGTGGGGAGAGGAGGGGTGGAGCACAGCTTTCAGGGCTGACTCACTTTCCTGCAGACCAGTGTGTCTCTGAAACGGATCCAGCATTTCCTGAACCAAGATGAACTTGACCCCCAGTGTGTGGAAAGAAAGACCATCACCCCAGGTCCAGACACCCTCTACCTGGGCCGCCCTTGCCCCGGCCCCTGCTCTAGAAAATCTTCTGTTCTAAGCTTCTGACTCGTCTCTTGTGACTGCCTTTTCTTTTTCCTCTTTTCCCGCCAGTGCCACCTTCTCCCTCTTCCGGGCTTTTCCTGCAGTCTACTTCCTCCCTCCCCCAAGCCTCCCCCGCTTTTCTTCCTTTCCTAGGGCTCCCTGCCTCTGCCCCAGGGCTCCCCGCCCCTCCCCCACCCCAAGCTTCCCTGCCTTCTCCCTTGGGCCCCTCCCCCCAGGGATCCTCCCCACCTTGCCCTGCACCCCCTGACCCTGACCCTGACCCTGTACACCTTGGTCCTCCCAGGCTACGCTGTCACCATACACAATGGCACCTTCACCTGGGCCCAGAACCTGCCCCCGACCCTGCACAGGTACCAGTTTCTCCTGTCCCTTCTCAGCTGCCTGAAGTGGGCCAAAGTTCGGATCAGTAGCAGAACCCTGTCCCCCCCCCCCACACCCGCAGCCCCCATCTTTGGCCTGGAAAGCAGGGAGAGCCTCCGCTTGTCAGGGTAGTGTCTGAAAGGGAGGAGGGCTTGGCTCTCTAGGTGGAAGATTGGGAGACCAAAATCCCAATCCCCACCTCTGACTGGGCTCCTGGCCTCCTTGCCCTCAGCCTAGACATCCAGGTGCCAAAAGGGGCACTGGTGGCCGTGGTGGGGCCCGTGGGCTGTGGGAAGTCCTCGCTGGTGTCTGCCCTGCTGGGAGAGATGGAGAAACTGGAAGGCACGGTGTGTGTGAAGGTGAGAGAGGGCAGAACTCCAGGGAAGGGCTGCTCGGCCAGGCCCTGGGTGGACCCCGAGGTAACTTCTCCTCTGGCCAGGGCTCCGTGGCCTATGTGCCCCAGCAGGCATGGATCCAGAACTGCACACTTCAGGAAAACGTACTGTTTGGCCGAGCCCTGGACCCCACGCGGTACCAACGGGCTCTGGAAGCCTGTGCCATGCTAGCCGACCTGGAGATGCTCCCTGGCGGGGACCAGACAGAGATTGGAGAGAAGGTACAGGGCCCCTTCCCATCCTCTAGGGGGTCAGCACATACAGCTGCCCACCTCGGCCCAGCTGAGGTCTATAGATGCGCCCCTTTCTTTCTTATTCCTTCCTTCCTTCCTTCCTTCTTCCTTCCTTCCTCCCCCCTCCCTCCCCCCTCCCTCCCTCCCTCCCTCCTTCCCTCCCTTCCCACATTCCTGTGAATCACTCAGCTCTGCGCTGGGCACTGGGCAAATAGATCTATGACTGGGGGAGGCCGACTTATGAACAGGTAGGGGGTGTAGAATGCCCTGGGGGCCAGCTGGAAGCCTGTGCAAGGGGACAAGGAGGGCGATGAAGGCAGGGCTGCATAAGGAAAGGCATCACTTTTCAGCTGAATCTTAACTGCTGAGGAAGAAGAGCTCATCATTCATTCATTCATTATCAGATTTTATTACATGCCTACTATATGCCAGACAATCTTATAAACAGCAGCAAATACACCAGACTAAACTGTCTGCCTTCATATCACTTACATTCTAGTGGGGGAAAGAGATGATAAACAAGATAAATATGTGACATATATAGTAGATTAGATAAATGTTAAGGGGAAAGAATGAAACAGGGAAGTAGAGGAATATGTGCAAGGCTGTATTGTTAAGGTGCCTTGGGAAAGCCTCACTGAGAATCGGAGACCTGAACAAAGTGAGGAAGTGGTCCCTATCTGGGGACATTTGAGGCAGAGCGAGCAGTAAGTGCAAAGGCCCTGAGGCAGGAATGTGTTGAAGCAGTCAGGACCAGCAAGGAGGCCAGTGCGGCCAGAGTGGAGTGAGCAGGGGTGAGGAGGAGTCAATGAGGCCAGTGAGGTGTTTCGGCAGCCTGGTCATGTAGGGCCTTACAGGCTTTTACCAACAGCGATGGAAAGGCTTGGAAGGCGTGAGCCAAGGAACAGTGAGTGGACGGGCATTCTGGTGCAATTTGGTGTAACTGGAGGTTAGGAAGAGGTGGATACAGGACAAGGCAGAGCCTTAAAGACCTTGGTTAAGGTTTTGCCTTTGCCCTGAGAACCATGGGGCATCAGTGAAAGTTTTTGTTTTTAAATTAATTTATTTGTAATTGTTGCCAAACACAGATGCCATAAAATTTACCATCTTAACCATTTGTAATTGTACAAGTCAGTAGTGTTAAGTGTATTCACACTGTTGTGTAATCAATCTCCAGAACTCTTTTCATCTTGCAAAACTGAAACCTTGTACCCATTAAACAACTCCCCATTACCCCCCTGCTCCCCCTAAGGGCCCTGGCAACTGCCATTCTCCTTCTTGTCCCTAGGAAGTTGACCTACTCCAGGTACTTCATATAAATGGCATCAGACAGTATCTGGGTTATTTTGTGACTGGCTTATTTCACTTAGTATCATATCTTCAAGGTTCATCCATGTTCCAGCATGTGTCAGAATTTCTTTCCTTTTTAAAGTTGAATAATATTTTATTATGTGTATAGATCACATTTTGTTTATCCACTCACCCGTCAGTGGACACTTGGGTTGCTTCCAACATGTTAGCTATTGTGGATAATACTGCTATGAACATGGGTGTGCAAATATCTCTTGGAGACTCTACTTTCATTCCTCTTGAGCATATACCCAGAAATGGAATTACTAAATCCCATGGTAATTCTATTTTTTTTTTTTGAGGCGATGCCATGCTCTTTTCCATAATGGCTGCACCATTTTAAATTCCCACCAACAGTGCACAAGGCTTCCACCGTCTACACATCCTCGCCAACACAGTTCTTTTCTCGGGGGAGGGGGTTGGTTTTGGGTTTTGATAGCAACCATTCTAATGTGTGTGAGGTGATATTTCATTGAGGGTTTGTTTGGTCTGCATTTCCCTAACTAGGAATGATGCTGAGCGTCTTTTCTTGGGTTTGTTGGCTATTTGTGTATTTTCTTTGGAGAAATATCTATTCAAGTCCTTTGCTCATTTTTAATCCAGCTGTTTTTGTTTTTTGTTGTTGACTTGTAGGAGTTCCTTATATATACTGGATATTAACCCCTTATTCAAGTATACGAGTTGCAAATATTTTCTCCTATTCTGAAGGTTGCCTTTTCACTCTGTTGATAGTGTCCTCTGACGCACAAAAGTTTTCAAATTTGGGGCACCTGGCTGGCTCAGTCGGAAGAGCATGTGACTCTTGATCTCAGGGTTGTGAGTTCGAGCCCCACATTGGGTGTAAAGATTACCTAAAAATAAAATCTTTTAAAAAGAAAGCTTTCAATTGTGACGTGATCCGGTATATCATTTTTTACTTTTGTTGCCTGTCCATTTAATGTCATATCGAAAAAAATCATTGCCAAATCCAATGAAAACTTTTCCCATGTGTTTTCTTCTAAGAGTTTTATAGTTTTAAGTCTTTGGGTTTTTTTTTTTCATACTAATGACTTTGGGGCATAGTCCCTCAAAACAGGCATTCTCTAATGTAACTATAGTCAAATAATCAAAATCAGGAAACAACATCGATACACTATTATTATTTAATTCGCTGTTTGTATTCACATGTCATCGTTTGTTCCAGTAAATGTCTTTTTTCACTCTTTTCTTTTCTGGGCGAGGATCCAATCCAGAATTCTGAGTTGCAGTTACTTGTCACATTTCTTTATTCTCTGTCAATCTGGATAATTCTTTAGGCTTTGTCTATCCGGACCTTGACACTTTTGAAGAGTACAGGCCAGCTATTTTGTAGAATGTCTCTCGATGTGAACACAGTACTATGCTGAGCACATAGTAGGCACTCAGGACTGGTTGGTTGAATGCAGACATGCTCACGTGCCTCGGTCACTACAGCTGCACGTCCACCCCCTGGTTTTTCCCAGCAGCTCCACTCCCATCCCACACTTGCTACCCCACCCCACCCCACCCCAGGCTCAGTTGCTCGGGGTACCTGAAAAAGCTGGGCCCTGTTCCAGAGGGAATGAGGAAAGCTGCAGGTAGGAAAGCAGGGTACAACTCTGGGGTCTGCTTTCTAGACCCAGCCCTGCTGCTAGGTGCCTTAGTTTCCCCCATGATGGGTTTAGGGAGAGATCTTACCTCTCTTCTGGCTCCTGAACAATCTCAGAGTCGATTTTGGGAATTGGTGCTGGGTTTCCATTCTTGCTTCTGCCCTGAATAGTTCAGGACCTTGGACAAAGCCATTAACAACTTGGGCTTTAATGTCTTCACCTAGAAAGTGGGGCCGATGATACCTCCCTGAAGGGACTCTACTTTCATTTCTTTTGAGCATATACCCAGAAATGGAATTGCTAAATCCCATGGTACCAGTGTTATGAGGATCAAATGGGACCAGTGTTATGAAAGTCATCTGCAAACTGGATGGGCGGTGGGAGATTAAAAGGTCTATTAAGGATTCCCTGGGGATTTCCAGGCTTTCAGAGCATAAAGGCAGCAGGCAGGGAAACCAGTTGGGAAGGGTAGTGGAGCAAAGGGGGCAGGATGTCCTCACCTGCCCCACGTGGACTCTTGAGAGCCACCACCTCTTGCTCTGTGGCCTCAGCGCTTCACAGGGACAAGCCCAGGCATATCAAGGGAGAATTTTGAGGTCTGCTTTGTTGAATGACGGTGACAGGGCCCTTGTCCCCTGGTGCCGGTCTGACGCCCTTCTACCCAATACGCACCTCCCACCTCTCTCCTCCATCCAGGGCATTAACCTGTCTGGGGGCCAACGGCAGCGGGTCAGTCTGGCCCGCGCTGTTTACAGTGAAGCTGACCTCTTTTTGCTGGATGACCCACTGTCAGCCGTGGACTCTCATGTGGCCAAGCATATCTTTGATCGAGTCATCGGGCCAGAAGGTGTGCTGGCAGGCAAGGTGAGGCCTCCAGGAGGTTGGGGGAGGGGGCTAAGGTGAGACCTAGGACCCTAGGAGAGAACTGGTGGGAGGCCAAGGGGTTCGGAGGAGACCTGGAGGCGTAGGAGGCCTGAGAAGAAGGAATATCGGTTGGGTGGCAGGGGGGACCCACCCCAGAGACACTGAGCCAGCGGCGGTGAGCATGGGGTGAGTCACTGACGTGTTTGTCCACGCTCCTTGGCATATGGGCACCTCACACTCACTCCATGGCCCTGTACCCGTGCCAGGGGTATGTGCCAAGGATGGTGGAAATGGTAGCCGGCTGTCTTCTCCCCAGACACGGGTGTTGGTGACACACAGCATCAGCTTCCTGCCCCAGGTGGACTTCATCATAGTGCTGGCTGATGGGCAGGTGTCTGAGGTGGGCTCCTACCCAGCCCTGCTGCAGCACAGTGACTCCTTTGCCAACTTCCTCTGCAACTATGGTCGCGATGAGGACAAGGAGAGCCTGAAGGAGGACAACAGGACCGGTATCCACCGTCGCTGACCCTCCACATCCCCATGCCCTCCCAGAATCTCCCCTGTCTTGGGGGTCTCTGAGTGTCTCTGGATGGGCCCAGGGTCATATAAGGGAGGTTCCGAGGAACTCGTCATCAAGTGCTGCTCCCTCCTCTTCCCTAAATGTGGGAACTTATCGGCAGCTCAGGCCTCAGAGCCCCACTCTTCCCGTGTATCCAAAGGGCGTAAGGGCCCAGGCCCAGTCTGTACGGCAAGACTGTTTCACAGATAAGTCATTTGGTAAATATGCCAGTGCTTGGAAAGGTCATTTAGTCATCAGCAAGGATTGAGTAATTACTATGTCGTAGCACTGCTCTCGGCACTGAGAGATGGCAGTGAACAAGTGGAAAATTCCATGTCCTCAGGGAGTGTTTCGAAGTCTCTGGGCCCCTAAGATCCCCCTTGTTGTCCAGTCCTGGTTCCCCAACCCCAAACTCTGGCTCACAGACCTTTTCCTGAGTTCTCTGGCCCACTGTTGCATATACGGCTGTCGTGTGTTGAATATGTACCAAGTGCTGCGCCCCTTGCTAAGCACTTGACACATATTCTTTCCTTTAATCCTCGCAATGACAATGACACCATGAAGTGGGTACTATTATTATCCCCATTTTACATGCCCACCTAAAGTCATGCAGTGAGGAAGTGGCATTTGAGCTCAGCCAGTGTGCCTCCAGAGCCCAAGCTCCTGACCCTTATATTTGAGATCTTCTCCATAGTCCCTGATGGGAAGTTTTTCTCCTTGTCTAACCTAAGTCTTTCTTGCTGCCCCCTTTTTCTCCCCCAGCAAAAAAACTGGTCATTTATTTTTGTTCTTGTTCTTGCTATTCTTTCATGCCTCTCATGTTCTCTCCTGCGTGTCCACTGGGGCATCTTCCCGGGTGTGGGGACTGGGGAACACCAGCGGCTTGCAGGGCGAGCTAGCCTACCCCTTCTCCTTTCTCCCACCCTGCTGCAGCCTTGGAGGACACAGAGGATGAGGTGCTGCTGACTGAAGACACACTGAGCAATCACACAGACCTGACGGATAACGAGCCAGTCATGTATGAGGTCCACAAGCAGTTTATGAGGTGAGCTCCTGAGAGCTCTCGGCGCCCTCCCTAAGCCCCGCCAGGTGGGGGCATGGGTGGGCAATCTCCCCGCCGTTCACAGCCTGGGCCTCCAGCTACAGCCTGAACCCCCTGGGGCTCTGTCCTGTGGGTTTGTTGGAGACTACCTCGCTGGGCCTGACCAGCTGCCTCCACAGACAGCTCAGCGTCATGTCCTCGGAAGGCGAGGGCCAGGGCCGGCCTGTGTCCCGGAGACACCTGGGCTCAGCAGAGAAGGTAGTGCAGGCGGCAGAGGCGAAGGCAAGGGGGGCGCTGATCCAGGAGGAGAAGGCGGAGATGGGCACTGTGAGTAGGATGGACAAGGAAGGCTGGAGAGGGTGGGCAGGCCCCCCAGCATTCCCAGGGCTCACGAGAGTCCTCTGTCCTTGACCGCCGTGGCGTGCAGGTGAAGCTGAGTGTGTTCTGGGATTATGCCAAGGCCATGGGGCTCTATACCACAGTAGCCATCTGTGTCCTATACCCGAGTCAAACTGCGGCTGCCACTGGGGCCAACGTGTGGCTCAGTGCCTGGACCAATGAGGCTATGGTGGACAGCCGGCAGAATAACACCTCCATGAGGCTGGGTGTCTACGCTGCCTTGGGAATTCTGCAAGGTGAGCGGCAGAGATAGCTGGAAGGTATTTTCCTCACATCTGGGCCGCTGGATCCCCCAAACCATGCCCTTGCCTCTGAGTTTTCCTCCATCATCACAGCCATTGCCCTGCCCCAGTGCCTCCCTAAGCCACCCTAGGAGTCCACCTCCCTCTGGGCATCTTGAGCTCATCCCAGCGGCGCTCTGTCTCTGAACCTCCTAGCCACCGCGGCCATCCCCTATCTCCTAACCTGTCCGCCCTGAGCCCTGCATGCCCCCACCCCGCCGTGAATGAACACCCTTCTGCCTCCTCCAACAGGTTTCCTGGTGATGCTGGCAGCCATCACGCAGGCGGTGGGCAGTGTCCATGCTGCACGCTTGCTTCACCAGGCGCTGCTGCACAACAAGATGCACTCGCCACAGTCCTTCTTCGACACGACGCCCTCAGGCCGTATCCTCAACCGCTTCTCCAAAGACGTCTACGTCATCGATGAGGTTCTGGCCCCCACTATCCTCATGCTGATGAACTCCTTCTACAGCTCCCTCGCCACCCTCGTGGTCATCGCGGCCAGCACGCCGCTCTTCACTGTGGTCGCCCTGCCCCTGGCGGTCTTCTATGTCTTGATGCAGGTCGGCCGGCAGTGGTGTGGGCGGGGTCTGGTGTGGGCGGTGCTCTCTGTAGGTGAGGCGCTGGTGTGGGCGTGGCTCTCGTGTGGGCGGGGGGCTGGCGTGGGCGTGGCTTGCCGTAGGCGAGGGGCTTGTGTGGGCGGGGCTCCCTGTGGGCGGGGCTCTCCCGTGAACAGTCGACCTGGGTTGGGACCTAGGGAGGTCAGACCGCAGTTCGCCGCTGGATTTGGTTAGGGACAGTAACTCATTGTTTGAGTTTTGAAACTCATTTTCCCCACCTGTAAAATATAATCATTGAATCTACTTGGTAGGTTGTTGCTAGGATAAAATGAAATCCTTGTAAATTGTGGCTGACCTTGGAACTCCTTCTTGCCGCCTATTTTTTTAAATTTAATTAATTTATTTATTTGACAGAGAGAGAGAGAGAGAGAGCCAGAGAGCACAAGCAGGGGGAGTGGCAGAGGGAGAGGGAGAAGCAGGCTCCCCACTGAGCAGGGAGCCTGATGCAGGGCTGGATCCCAGGACCCTGGGATCATGACCTGAGCTGAAGGCAGATGCTTGACTGAGCCACTCAAATGTCCCTATATATACATATATTTAAAAGATTTTATTTATTTATTTATTTATTTGAGAGAGAGAGTGAGAAAGCACAAGCAGGGGGAGTAGCAGAGGGAGAGGGAGAAGCAGGCTCCCCACTGAGCAGGGAGCCTGATGCAGGGCTGGATCCCAGGACCCTGGGATCATGACCTGAGCTGAAGGCAGATGCTTAATCGACTGAGCCACCCAGGCACCCCTTGCTGCCTATTTTTAAATAAAATATTGTTAACAGTGTGAGACATTATCCTTCCCTTCCTTTACACCTATCTAAACATATATGTGCATACATGTTTTTAACATAGATGACTTGGTAACATTCAGATACAGCTAATGGTAAAGGGTACTTGTGTTGCTGAGCCCCTGTCCGGCCAGGAGTTTAATCAGTTGCGGAAGGTAATCCACAAAGTGGCTGGGAGCTCAGGTGATCTGGGCTGTGCTCTGTGCAGGGACAGGGGACTCTCAGATACCCATCCGGTACGGCCCCGGCCACCTTGGGGCCCATGGGCTAGAGGATGGAAGCTGGAGGCAGGACTGTGTTTTTGTGGCGCTGAAGTTTAGAAAACTGGGGGTGAGGTGGGGGAGAGGCTCTTTAAGAACAAGAATGCAAAATTATCTTATTTTTGCAAATTTTGTGGTATTCTGACTGTATAAGAACATTGCTGGGGCACCTCAGAGGAGAAAGGCATAGTCACTGATTTAGGAGGCCTAGCAAAGTGAGTACTGTAATCCAGGCCCCTCCAGGGGGTGAGGGGATCAGGAGCTGAGAGGGAATCAGGAAAGGCTTCATGGAGGAAGTGGCCTGGAAGACCCAGCAGAGCTGACCAGGGGGAAAGGGTGGGATGAGTTCATGGAGCCACATCAGGTCGAGAAAGGAAGCAGAGTCTTATGGAGGAGTGGGGCTGGCTGGGAGGACTGAGTTAGGGCTCCCACGGTGCTGACCTCAAGCTCTTTCTCCATCCTCTGCCAGCGCTTCTATGTGGCGACATCACGGCAACTGAAGAGGCTAGAATCCATCAGCCGCTCGCCCATTTACTCCCACTTTTCGGAGATGGTGACTGGCTCCAGCGTCATTCGGGCCTACGGCCGCAGCCAGGACTTCAAGGCCATCAGTGATGCTAAGGTGGACACCAACCAGAGGAGCTGTTACGCCTACATTGCCTCCAACAGGTCAGAAGCCTCCTTCTTCACCCCCTGCCCCTCCGGGAGTTCCCACCAGGATCTCTGCAGGAGAGACCCTGAAGTTCGGGGTCCCACTTCCTCTCTCCCCCTATATAGGGAATTGCCTCCTTCCTGCACCTGCCCCACCTCCTCCTTGTCTTGTCTCCACAGGTGGCTGGGGGTCCAAGTGGATTTCGTGGGCAACTGTGTTGTGTTCTTTGCTGCACTCTTTGCTGTGATTGGCAGAAACAGCCTGAGTCCGGGGCTGGTGGGCCTTTCTGTGTCCTACGCCCTACAGGTACACAGGGGTCTGGGCCCCCAGGACAGGGCCGCAACTGGGGCAGAGACACACAGGTGTCACAAGCCTCTCCTGAGCGTTTGCTCTGCCCAGTATGGGGACCAGCCACAGGTTCTGCTTACCAGGACTGTGAGCTCACAGTCGAGCACAGAGAAGACAGTCCCACCAACGGGATTATAATGCAGGGTGAACAGGTCTTTGTGGAGGAAGGACCAAAATGTGGTAAGAATCCAGAGGAGAGTCTCTACCTTGGGTTTTGGTGTTGGAGAAATTATCTTGGCGCTTGGCCCCAAAAGATAAACAGAACTCGTCCTGCCTGTGTGCAGGATATAGAAGGTCAACTGTGACAGTGGTCCTGGGACAGGGAAGTGTAGGGCTGGAATACACCTCATTTCACAGGCCAGCAGAGAAAGTACACAGAGAAGGTGATTGGAGCCTGGGCTGGAGGGCAGGCCGGTCACCCCGATATCAGCCTGTATTGTCAAAGGCTTAAATAACTACACATGGCGTTTTTGTGACTCAGATCGCATTTTCAATGCCACAGAGGGCTCAAGCCTTGAATGCTTTGGTAAACAAAGAACAATCTAGACAAAGGAGTCTTCTCAAACTTTCCTGTTACTGAATCAACTGGAGATCTTGTGAAAATGTGGTTTCTGATACAGCAGGGCTAGGATGGGGCTCAGCGTTCTGCATGTCTATCAGGACCCCTTGGTACACAGTGTGGTCCAGGGATGGGTTGCATCAGCATCACCTAGAAGCTTGTTAAAAATGCAGAATCTCAGGTGCCTGGGTGGCTCAGATGGTTGAGCGTCTGCCTTTGGCTCCAGTCATGGTCCCAGGATCCTGGGATCGAGCCCTGCGTCGGCTCCCTGCTCGGTGCAGAGCCTGCTTCTCCCTCTCCCTCTGCCGCTCCCCCTGCATGTGCTCTCTGGCTCTGTGTATCTCTCTGTCAAATAAATAAATAAAATCTTAAAAAAAAATAAAAATAAAAATAAAAACGCAGAATCTCAGGGACGCCTGAGTGGCTCAGTCGATTAAGCATCTGAGGCTCCTTGCTCAGCAGGGAGCCTGCTTCTCCCTCTGCCTTCCACTCCCCCTGCTTAGGCTCGCGGTCTCTCGCTCTCTCGCTCTCTGACAAATAAAATCTTTAAAAAAAAAAATGCAGAATCTCAAGTCCCACCACAGACCTACTAAATCAGAAACCACATTTTAACAAGATTCCCTAAGAAGTCTTTCATAATATATTAAAATTTGAGAGATATGGGGGCCAGGTGGCCCGGGGTCAAGTCTGCAAGGTCACTGCTTGAGATACAGTTGTGATTAGAGCCCCAAGTGGCACACCTATGGGCTTGGCGGGGTCCTCCTGCTTTGTAGAGGCAAGGAGCCTCATCAGGGAGTCAGAACTCCTCCCACAGCTATTGTCGGGGGAGCGGAGATCACCGTATCCATGACCTAGTCCCTTTGGCCAGATAACATTGACTCTGAATTGGATGGTCCGAATGATGTCAGACTTGGAGTCTAACATTGTGGCCGTGGAGAGAGTCAAGGAGTACTCCAAGACAGAGACCGAGGTGGGTACTGGGATGAGCCTGGGGCAGGGTGATTCTGGAAGAGCTGGGGAAGGGTGCTTGGTGACCCATCATCCCTACATTCCAAGGCCAGCTCTTCACTTGGGGGGCTCTTCATTCATTCATTCATTCATCCACTCATGGCCTTATTGAGCGTCAGCCAGAGGTCTGTGCCAGCAGGTATAGAGGGTCCAGAGTTGAGCAAGGCAGGGTCTATCCTCACGCAGACTCTGATGTGGTGGGTGAAGTAAGACGAGTGCTTTGCACTACAAGACAAGAACTCTGGGGTGACGCCCCAGACAAGGCAGACAGGGGAGAGTCATTCAGCTGGGGTGATCAGCTGGAGGGTGAGAATTCCAGCCAGAGATCAGCCTGGTTGAAGGAACAGCAGTGGGGTAGTGTGCCCTTTGTTGGGGAAAGGGAGTGTTCCCTACGGGGAGGGGGGTGCAGACTTTTGTCCACTTACTTCTTCCCCTAGTCACAGCCCAGACCTCTTCAAGCCCAGAAACTGCACCATCTCTGAGATCTCAAGCCAAGCTTTTAGACCACCCTTCCCAGCCCTCCCAGCTCACATGCCCCAAACCCTCTGTCTTCCAGAACTTTGTCCTCGTTGGGACCCCCAGTCCCGTGACCTACCTTTGCCCTTCTGCCCACTAGCTCACCTAGCCTGGATTCCGTGCCCCACTGGTGCCAGTGCTCCCGCCTCCCTTGCCCTGCCTTCTCTCAGCGGTCCTCACCTACAAAACCCCTCCCCAGTCGAGCCCCTCTGTCTGCCTTCTACATGCTAGCATTCAGCAGCTAAGACACTGCTGGAGAAGAATCACTAATTTTACTTCACGTTTATGACCACACACCACTGCTGCGTATTCCCATTTTGCTTCCCCAAGAAGCATGTGTTCCCACTTCCAGAAAGATCTGTTTTGAACCTCCTTTCCTCCAACCCCCCATCTCCTCCCCTTGGCTCAGCCATGGACCTTGCATGACTTGCCAGTGAGAAAACAGGGTATGAGATATAAACTCCCTCAACCTTCCTGCCTCCAGACTTTCCATCGTGCTTGCGGCCCGTTCACCTTCTTCCTTCCTCTTTTAGCAGGAAGTGTCTCTCCTCCAATCAAAATCCACCTCTTCAGACTTCTCCTCCCTAATTACACCCTCCCACTCCTACAGCCTGCTCCCTGTGTTGGATGATTCCCATCCACCGGCAAACATAAGCTCTCGTAGCTTCCATTCTAGACACACAAACCAACCGCTCGTCCCCCTACGTTTCTCTGCTCTTCTTTGTCATGAAGCCTGCTTTAAAACGCACATGCTCTCCCCACTTCCCTATCACCCTTTATCACATCTGCCTCCCACGGTCTGGTTTCTGGCCCTGTCACTCCTCCGATGACCTGCCCAGTTCCAAACCCAGGGGACACATTTCTGTTCTCATCTAATTCAGCCTCTCAGCGACATTCAGACAGAATGACCCCTGCCTTCTTCTTGGAAGGCCCTCCCTCCTGGCTTCTGTGACCTGGGCTCTCCCTCTGTCAGTCTACATTGAGTCCCTGGCCTCCCTGTTCCTCCCAGTCTGGCCCCCCCCTTTCCCTCCCCCTGCCTTCTCCGGGCATCTCCTATCACCCCCCTCACCCCCACTGTCTGGATCTTCAAATTCTCCCTCTTCGCATCTAGCATTCCCATTTCCCCCATCCAGACACCTGATCCTGTTGCCATAGCCTGAGAAGTTCTGCCCCCAATCCTGCTGCCCGTCGTGTGACACCTCCTCGAGAGAATGGTCTATACTGGCTGCTTTGCTTTTTGACTGGTGGCAGTCTGGCTTCCCCTGTCTCAAAGCAGGGCCGGCTTCACACAATCCGCACGGTCACATAGGTCCCCACACTTAGAAGGGCCTTACATTTGGTTTAACGTTCTGCTGTCACCACTTGGACCTTCTTCATAATTATTGAACAAGAGACCCCACATTTCCATTTTGCACCGGGCCTCCCAAATGGTGGCTGGTCCTGTCTCAAAGCCACCATCATCTTATGCCCTTATTTTAAGAACCTCCTCGCTAGCTTCCCTGTTTTCCATCACGCCCGCTCCCTTCTCCCTCATAGCAGCCAGAGGGACCCTTTAAAAACACATCAAATCACGTCATTGCTCTGATGGCTCTGCATCTTAGAGTAAAAAACCCGTAGTCCTTAAAATGGCCTGCAAAGCCCTTCATGATGGGGCTACCCATTATCTGTCTCCTACCTCTCCCCTTTGTCATCGTGCTCCAAACACATCTGGGCAGGCATTTCCAGTTTCTGTTCCCTCTGCCTGGCATGCCCATCCCCCAGATATTTACTTGGCTTGTTGCCTCACCTCCTAAGGGTCTTTCTTTAAATATCGCCTCCTCCAGGAAGCTTTCCCTGACCACCCTGTACTTCTACAACACCAAGCATTTCTCAGCACTCATCACTTTCTTGTATTACATAGATTTGCTTATTTGTTGATGGTATGCACCCCCACCCCCGCCATACTAAATGTAAGCCTCACAGGGAGGCAAAGACCTTGTCTTGTTCACTGTGATCCCAGTACCTGTCACAGAGTAGCCGGTCAATGAACGGTGAAAGAGGGGGCTAGGGCAGGCAGGGAAGGGCAGCTCAAGCTCCGAGGAGAGAGTGGGAGAGGGCAGGATGGGAAGGTTTCGGAGCACTGTAGGGAATAAAGGCAGAGACAGAAAGGATTCGTTGAACCACAGGGTTGGGCCACAGGGGACACCAGGGCCTCTCCCCCAGGGACCCTGGTGATGAGGGTGAGGATGGAGGGGGCCTCAGGAGAGAGGCAGACTGAAAGGTGGGAGAGGGCCAGGCTGGGGAAGAGGTGCCACCCTGACGCAGGCCCATCTTCCCCTCCCGACCAGGCCCCTTGGGTGGTGGAGGGCAGCCGCCCTCCGGCGGGCTGGCCCCTGCAGGGCGAGGTGGAGTTCCGGAATTACTCCGCGCGCTACCGTCCGGGCCTGGAGCTGGTGCTGAGGGACCTGAGTCTGCGCGTGCGCGGTGGCGAGAAGGTGCGCGTGGGCTGGGGGTGCGCGTGGAGCGTGGCCAGCAGCCGGGGGCGAGCAGGTGCAAGCCCTGGCGCTGCCCACGCCGACTCCTCCCCACCCCCTCACGGCCCTCCTTCCTCCCTCCAGGTGGGGATCGTGGGCCGCACGGGGGCCGGCAAATCGTCCATGACCCTCTGCCTGTTCCGCATCCTGGAGGCGGCGGAGGGTGAAATCCGCATCGACGGCGTCAATGTGGCAGACATCGGCCTCCATGACCTGCGTTCCCAGCTGACCATCATCCCGCAGGTACGAGCCTGACATGGTCTGGCCACGCTGACCAACCCTGCTCTGGAGCTTGGGGTCCAGGCCTGGAACCCCTGACCACAGCAGGCGCAGAGCCACAGAGCGGCCATCTGTCGTGGATCCGAAAGGGTCCGACGTGTCCTGGCCCAGTCAGCCTCTGCGCTCCGACCTCCAGGGCCACCACTTGAGACCTGGATCTCGGGACCCTTCAAGCACCCCACCCTCTGAGAGGCTCTGCCGTGGTCTCCCTGTTGCACAGCTCGGAATTACCTATCACTCTTTCTGGCTTCTCTGGAGTATTTTTTTTTTTTTTTTTCTGCTGACTGGACCCTTTGGAGTCAGATTAGCAGCTCTGCTTTCTGCTTTGGTGGAGGGCTTCGTGATTGGCAAAGCTGAGGTTTATCACTTCCCCACAGGCATGTATCTTGCGGTGGCCTCCCTCCTGGAGGGCCGGGGACAGAATGGGAGTGCTGCCACCTAATCCCCTGCTTTTTCCCTGGCCCTGGGGGGCCCATGGCTCCTCTTGGGGCCTGAGCTGCCCTCCTCCGAGGCCTTGTCGTGTCCCCAGGACCCCATCCTGTTCTCTGCGTCCCTGCGTATGAACCTGGACCCCTTTGGGCGTTACTCGGAGGAAGACATATGGCGGGCCTTGGAGCTATCCCACCTGCACACCTTCGTGAGCTCACAGCCGGCAGGCCTGGACTTCCAGTGCTCTGAGGGAGGGGAGAATCTCAGGTAACCGCTGGGATTCGGTGGGTCAGGAACCGCACCCTGAGGAGCTAGAGGATCTAGCATCAGATGCACAGAGTCCAGGCCAGCCCCCTCTGGCCCTCCCCACTCCCATCCTAGCCTGGGTGTGCTTAGGGAGCGTCGATTCGTATTGAACCTATGCTGTGTGCCAGGCGCGGTGCCCTATTTCACTGACTCCTCACACAAGCCCCAGACGCGGTGATGGCCCCACTTGGCAAAGGAAGAAACTGAGGCAGAGCCAAAGTCACCTAGCTGGGGGAAGGCATGCCTGGGATTTGAGTCAGGTCCAGGAGCTTCCAAAGCCCTATTTAGTGCTATCCTGTGAGGTTGTCAGCGCTGTGCTTGGCCTGGGGTGGGGGTAGGGGGTCTGTACTGTGCCTGTGGATCAGGTAAGAGGAAATCTGTGCTGCGTTAGGGACATCAGAGATATTTCCCAAAATGGCTCTGCAATCTCATCTGTAGCTTAGGAGTGAGCAAAGTAAGCTCTCCAAGGCCTTCTTTGCTTTCTTACAGCCCCAGTGTTATATCCCCAGCCACTGGGCTGCTCAACAGGGAGGGCCAGAAGTCGCTTCTTACTAAGTCCAAAGGCTTGAGATTCCCCTACGTGTGTTAGCTGTGTGACTTGGGGCAAGTTGCTTGATCTCTCTGTTCTACCTCTCCCTTCACTTTAAAATGGGGACAATAACAGTCCCATACCTCTTTGCACCATGCTGCCCACTAAAAATATAACGTGAGCCACATATATGTAATTGAAGTTTTTTCCAGTAGCCACATTAAAAAAAAGAAAAAGAAACAGGTGAAGTAAACTTAAATAGTGTATTTTATTTATCCCAATATATCTAAAATATTATCATTTCTACAAGTAATTGATATAAAAATTATTAGGGATATTTTGCGGTTTTTTTCATACTAAGCTTGAGCTCCCATGTGTATTTTCACATTTACGGTACCTCCCAATTTAGACTAGCTTTATTTCAAGTGTTCAATAGCCACATATGGCCAGTGGTTGTCGTTTGGACAGAACAGTCTTTAGGTCATTGTGATGAAATAGAAAGCACTTAGCCTGAACACACTCCTGTGATATTTAGCTATTCTTATTCTTATTCGTATTTGTATTATTCTGCTCAGTCCACACCCATGGACTCTCTCCAGACCTCAGAAACAAAAACAAAACCTTTACATTTGCTCAGCACTTAATAGTGTTCAAAGCACTTTGGCATCCACTATCTTGTTTAATCTTTGCTGCGGTCCTGTGGGCCAGAAACGAAGCTCCAAAGTATAAAATTATTGTCCAAAGCCACTCAGCTAGCAAAGGGAGGGGCAAGGGCTCAGGGGAGCAGGGGGTTTTGCCCCAAACCCTTCCTCACTGTATCACAACCTTGGGTGGGACGCCGCCACACACCCGCCCCAACTGCCAGGCAGTCCTGGGAGACTGGGTATGCCCTTCAGCTGGATTTCACTTACACAGCCATGTTGGGGTGGCTGGTGGAAAAGCACAAGCTTCCAGACCCTACACTCCATAGCTGATTTTTCTCCATTTTCCTACCCCTGCTTGCTATCTGCACCTCTTCTAGAGCATTTCCTCTATCTCCATATATGCCAGGCTCTGATCCGGGTCGGTTCCCCTCCTCCTTCACTGAGCTTGTAGCCACTTTAATAAGCATAAACTGCATCCTGTGCCAGTCCTACCATAAATCAGCCCTGAGTTCTGGCTGGAGGCTCACTCTGCTGCCAAAACCTTCATTAGCTGCAGGAATGGGCCAGGGAGAGAGCCTGGCCTTCACTTGGGCTGTGGTGACTCACCCCTTTGGGAAAGGCTGAGGTATTTGTCCTTGGGTGTGGGGGTACAACAGCCTCTGTAGTTGGGAACACAGCCTTGCTTTGTTCACTGGCTCTGGCTTCCAAGGCAAGAGGTTGAAGGTATGCGGCCCAACCTCTCCTCCACCTCCCCAGTGACCAGACACAGGAGTCCCCATGACCTCCCTTGCCCTGCCCCTTCCTGTTCCCACAACAGAGCCCTGGCCTGCATTCCTCCCATGGGGCTGGGAGATGCCTGTCTGAATTGTGTGATATTAAACTCAGCAAGATGGCATAACGCGTGCTCATATCCAGGAAGTGCCATTTAAGTGTGTTCTTTCTAGAGTGTAAATGACTGATGGAGTAAAGCAGAGAAACATCATGGAACTAGCTGAGGAGCCGAGGACAGGGGAAAAAGGCACAGAAAGAGGAGGCCGAGGGTGCCAGAGACAGACTGGATCTCACAATGTTGTTGAACACTGCCTCTACCCCAGGCCCCTCATCATCCCTGTGGGGTCCAGATCTCGATGACTCCATGTTCTGGGAGGACTGGGCTGAGGCAGAAATGGGAGCAGTTAGACAGAAAGCCAGTCCTGGGCCACTGGGAAGGAATAGAGACAGAAGCAGTTCAGGGATCGAGGCCTGGGCGGGGTGGGGACAGGTGGGGGTGCTGGGCTCAAGATGCCTGCCTTCCCCGTTCCCAGCGTGGGCCAGCGCCAGCTCGTGTGCCTGGCCCGAGCCCTGCTCCGCAAGAGCCGAATCCTGGTTTTAGACGAGGCCACGGCAGCCATCGACCTGGAGACTGACAACTTCATCCAGGCCATCATCCGCACTGAGTTTGAGAGCTGCACGGTGCTGACCATCGCCCACCGGCTCAACACCATCATGGACTACACCAGGTGGGGCACCGGAACCCAGCCAGGGGGAACCTGGTGTGGTCATCTAGGCCACTGGGAAGGCAGATTAAGGTGATCTGGACACAGGAGAGCTCATGGGATTGTCTAGGGCCCGGGGAGGGGAAGGGCTTCCCAAGTTAAGGGAGTCATCTGCACTCGGGGGGCCCAGCGACGTTTTCTGAGACAGGGGACACTTTCAGGTTACCAACGTGCAGGGAAGGGGCACACTGGGGCTCCCTAGGCATTGCGAACTGTGCCCAGGCCACCTTCCTCCAGCCTTCTGTGAATGCTAGGAGGTGGAGCTGGGTCCTTCGTGAACATGCTCAGTCCCAGAGCCCCGGAGTTTAGAGGCCAGCCCTTCGTACCTCGCTCCCGCAGTCTGAGCCGGGCGTACAGACAAGGAAGCCGCTGAGAGAAGTGCATGATGCTCGGGTCCCTCCCGTGGGGGGCCGGGCCCTGATAGCACCGTGAGAGGCAGATGCTCTGTGGTGAGAGAGCAGAGGACTGAGTCCCAGCCCCCGCAGCCACTGGCGGCCCTGTGACCTTGGCCCGTGGGCCAAACCTCTCTCTTGGGGTTGTTGTAACGAGTCTATAAAATGAAGCGTTTCAAGTGCAGGTGAGCCTGGGAAGTGTTTCCTCCCCAGCCCCTTTCTGTAACCCTCTAAGGATTAGGGAAGGGGCCTTGCCCTCGAGATCTTATGCCTTCCCTAGGGAGGCAGCCACTCAGCCAAAAGGAAAACCTGGGACCTATTCCCTCATTGTGTCCAGTGTTAAGGTGAGGTGCTGGAGGACAGGGTGAGGGGCTGGGGGGTCAGAAGCCTCATGGAAGTGACCCAGCGCTGGCCTCGCAGACTGGCCCCCTCGGAGACGTAGAAGCTCAGAGGGATGACGGGGAGGAAGCTGCAGCCAATCTCTGCTGAAGGAGTGTGGGGGGAGCTCATCAACAGGCCTTCATTCACAACATAAACACCCACATCAGGGGGGCGTGGGGAGGACACCACGGACAGACGGGACGATGGGGCAGACCTTGGCCCTGTCTCAGAAGCGACCCCACCTGGCCCCCAGGGGCTTGAGAACCAAGCTGAGAGTGCCCGATGCCACCATCTGTCTGTTCCATCTCTCCCCCACTCCCATCCAGCACCCCACTGAGAGAAGAGCGGGTGGACAGGAGGTGCTAGGCCCTGGGTCCAGACAAGGGTCAGGATGGCTGAGAGGATCTATTCCCAGGCCTAACTGGAAATGGTATTCACAGCAGCCTTGAGAGTAGAAGGCTCAAACCAGCCTTGGAGGTTGGGAGTTCATTCATTCTAGTGGGACCAGTGGAAATGAATCAGATAATCATGTATTGAACATGTAATCAGAGACTGGAGGGAGGAAGCAGGGGTCCATGTGTGTCGACTGGAGGAAGCCAATCCACACAGGGCAGCCAGGACACTATCTCCCCTAAGAAGAGAAAGTATCAGCCAGGCCCTAAAGGATGAGTAAGAGTTGGGGAGTGAGTGAGGAGATGGGGTACGGACACACATTTTAGGCAATGGATGCAACACATGCAAAGGCCCTGAGGTAGGAGGGCACAAGAGGCTGGAGTGCACAGGGTGAAAGGGGCAGTAGAACCAAGATGAGAAGGAGAGAGGGACAGGCCCCACTATGTTGTGCTTCGAGGACAGTGGTAAAGCAGTCCATCCTTACCCTAAGAACAGTGAGAAACCACTGAAAGGAGAAGGGGCAGTCTCCTGGGCTCCAGTTCGGGCACTGGCTAGGCAAAGATGTGCACAGACACACTCCTCCCCAGGACACGTTTCCAGGAGCCCTGTAGGTAAGGAAACAGAGTATGGCCACGTGGTCCCATCGAAGGGCATCTCCCCAGGGCTCAGGAGAGCCCTTTCCGCTCCTGCCGCCCCCTGGAAGCCAGGCTGCTCCGCCCCAGCCCAGGCCTGAGTGTGTGTGTGTGTGTGTGTGTGTGTGTGTGTGTGTGTGTGTGTGTGAGATCCACCCATCAGCAGCAACCAGACTTACAGCGAAAGTCCCAGATTCCAGTGTCAGGCCTCAGCGCAGCCTGGTTTCCTGCCGTGTGCCTTTGTGAGTTGGCACAAAGCAGATGGAAGCGCACAGGGCCCAGCGCACAGGCCCATGGCTCCCTGGGCACGGTCCTGCGACCCTGGCGAGGGAAGGGCTCATTAGGGAAGGTTCTCGGGGCCCCGACTAGCAGAGATGAATAGCAACCTTGTGTTTGATCCCCGAAACTGCCTCATCTGCCAGGAGAGCAAAGGGAACGGCTAAAATAGGCAGCCTTGTAAGCACGCACGCACGTGTGGCTTAGGGCTGTGTTGGGTGGGTCACCTGAAGCAGGAGGCTTGCATGTCACCACAGGACCAGAGCGGTCCCTGGAAGGGGAGGGGTGGACTCAAAGGCCAGGTCGAGGCTGATGGAGCCCTGACCACTTCTTCTCTTTGGCTAGGGTCCTTGTCCTGGATAAAGGGACGGTAGCTGAATTTGATTCTCCGGCCAACCTCATTGCAGCCAGGGGCATCTTCTACGGGATGGCCAGAGACGCCGGACTTGCCTAGAATAGATTCCTGGGACTTCCTCCTGGCCCTTCCTGGTTTTCATTGGGAAAGAAAAAGACACCATGTTCGTCTGCAGGATGGACTTGATGGCAGATGCCGGGGGCGTTTGTTGGGCCTTATGCCCTGTCAGGTGCCTCCGGAATAATTGTGCTAAATGCTTTATATGAGGAAGCAGGCCCGAGAGGTGACTGACGTGCCTGAGGTCACAGCTGGTTTAAGGCAGAGCCCAGACTGGTGCCCGGGTCTCCTGATTCCCAACCTAGTGTTATTTCCACACTGTGCTGTTTTCAATCATCTCATGGAATGACCTCTCTACTCTAGATTTTTCATATTTTCTACTGTGAAGTATTTTTTTTTAAAGTAAAGCTTTTTCCTCCTGAAACAGCTGACTGCCGGGTCAGGCCGTCCTCAGGAACGGAGTCCTGTACTCTGGGGTGCTGGCCTGAATCCATTAAAAACGGGGCACTGATGAAATAAAGCTACATGGTCAACAATAGGTATGCCTCAATGTAGCCTTTCTCTGCCTGTTCACAAGGTTTGGGGGTTAGGACCTTTGGGGGAGGCAAGGGGAGGGGTGGAGGTAGACTTTATACATATCCACATGGCTGGAATTATCTGAAAACTTCAGACTTGAGAGCTTTTGGCTAGAAATGTCATCTTCACAGCCAAAATTCACTGGGGAGTTCCTGCTCTGCTGTGCAGATACTGTAAAAAGGCGAGAAATAAAGCCCCTGAAATTTGACCCGACGCCTCCTGGGAAGGCTGCCGTGAACACCTTCACGTTTATGTCATCCCTCAGACCTCCAGGCCTGTTCCTCTAGGGGCTGAGACAGGCATGGTGCTTCATTTCCTTGCTCCTTTACAATGTTCCAGACAGGTCCCCATAACCAGCGAGGCCTCTGAGCCATTCCTCTTCCTCCGTCTGGCCAAAGCTGAAAGTGGGAGCAAAGAGCAGCCCGGGGTCTGCACCCCCTCCCCCGCCAGTCCTGGGCTGGTAAACACATCTTGAGGTGATAAATTAAATTTGGTCCCAAGCAAACCAACAGAGCGTTCATTTTCTACAGGTCAGAGTCCATCTGGCATAAGGCCTTCTATTTGGAATGGCTCTCTTCTTTGTTACCTTACAGAGTTTTTTGGTCTCTGACTCTCTCACTTCCTTGACCTTTCTACTCTGATGGGACTGGTTGGAGGTGATGGTGTGCCTTTCTTCCCTAAACGGTCTGTGGTAGGTGCGGAGATGGCTCCTTTGATCTGGTTCTCCTCTGTGTATCAGGTCGGCCTGTGCCGCAGGGCCATTTGTTAAAGGTTAATCACATTTTTTTTTTTGGCAGCCTGTTTCTGCCCAGGATGTTTATGAGTGTATGGAAGACGACTTCCATTCTTGTGATAAAGCGAGTATGAAGGCACAAATGCCCACATTATTCTGCCTCTCCTTGGTGCTAAGAAAAGGTCTCTACTGTGCTCCCTGATTTATTAGGCCAATTTGGCATGACGTCTGCTCTGTGAGGCTGCAGCCACCCTAAACTAACAGAAACGCAGATTCACTCAGCAGCGTGCTCAGCTAAAGATCTGACGGTGTGAGACTGTATTTCCTCTCCTGCCTTGGGAGTTTGCTTCTGAGCTCACTGAGGCCCTGACAGGTGCTGACAGCCCAAAGGAGAGGCTCAGTTGTGTAAAGTAAATAGGATAATCAAAAGCTGCGGTTAATAGAGGATGACCTCCATCTAGCTGGCTCAGCAGCTCCAAGGAGATGAAGCTCACTGCTGTGAACCGGGAGGAAAGGCACTGCACAAAATATGTCTCCAGGTGCCACTGACAGGCCATGGGCAGCAGCTGCAGGAGGGAGGCGGCTCAGGTCGGGAGGACATTCCCTGCTATTTTTCCTCCGGAGCATTGTGTCCCTAGGACCATCCAGGAACTTGAACCCCCTGGGATTAGAAGTGCCGTGCTGCTTAGGGGGCCAAAACGAAAGAAGATGGGCTCAGTCCGTTAATATTTGATTTTAATAATACTCGTTATGTCTGAACAGTCGGCAATGCACAAAGAAAAAAAGTCTTCAGTGAATGTTTACACACCGTGTGAACACATGCTTTAAATATGCAGTGGAGGAGGGGTGAATTCACAGTTAACAAAGCTAAAAAAAAAAGTCCTTGTTATAAATTACACAAAGCATATAAAAATATTTCTCTGAATGCATAGATTAAGACTTTAAACTCACCTACCATCAACTGTGCGGGCTCATCCCACCGCCAGATGCAGGAGTCAGTTGACTACAGAAGACTTGAGAAAGGAGAAGAGAGGCCCATGGAGGGCTAAGCCCTCCCCTGAGATGCCCAGCCCCTCCCTCGCCCCTGCGTCGGCTCCAACCTCCATCTCTAACTTCCGTCTCTAAGCCGGGGGCGGGGGCAGGGGAATGCCCTGGAGCGACTCCTCCATAGGCCACCTCTGGGCTGGGGACCTCCACTGCCTCTGAGTCTCTAATTGATCTAGATGGCTAGAAGAGTTTTTACCCCAGTGATTTAGACAAAAATTAATACTGGACTTATTTCCTCCGGGATACAACTAGCCTTCGTGTTATCAGTAAATTGTAACTTTTCCCAAAGGGAAGGAAAAAAGGTTAGTAGGTCTAGGTAAACTAGCTTCTGATTGGTTGAAACACAGGGAGGTTTCCTTTCAAGCACTTCAGAGAAGGGATAATAAGTAACCTTTACTCAGTGATGCAAACACTGTACAAGGATGAGTAAGTCACCATCAGTAACTGGTGGGAGACGGTTAAGTCACCAAACGGAGTGACCCCATGAAGCTGGCCTTGAAAACACCTCAACCTCAGCTCAGCACCGAGCAGCAGCAGGAGACCATTAGCTCAGCACAACACTCTCTTCCACTGACAGCTTCTGCATGTTCTCGCTCAGTCGTCGCAGTGTTCCAATAAAATTAACACAGTTAGGAAGTCCAGTTTCTTTGGAAACTATAGGCACTATGGGGAAAAAGCTTCTTAAGACAGCAGGGACGCTCTTCAACAGCCAGCTTCAAACCCCTGCCCTCCTGTTTGTCTAAGTGTGCTCGTTCTTATTTCTAAAGTTACGCTGTTTGTCTCAACAAGACAGTGGCTCTTTGAACAGTAATGACACGGAAGGAAAGGAAAAGAATTCTTGAATGCGCTCTTTAAAAACATTCGTATGCCATGCTCAAGAGTTTAATCAGTGTCTTCCAGAACAAAGCCTGGGAAACTCACAACTGGCTTTGTCAAGTGGACTGGTGGTGGTAGTCGGGGAGCCCTAGGATCAAACAATTTGTTTATACAAAAAGCAACAGATTTCAGAGTTGTGTAAAAATCCTAATAATTTCAAAATAACCCTTATCTTTGATACAAAAATAAAGATGCTAACTCCTTTAGCTCAGTTTCCCACGATAACCTTTAAAATAGCAACAGATTCGGTTTCAAAAATTGCTTTTCATTTCTAGTGGGAAATGAAAGTGGAGAACACGGGCCGGCAATGTTTGTGCTCTTCTCAGACGGTGCAATTAAACATGGAGAGGACAGGAATCGCTTCGGAGATTTAAAAAGTGTGGAAAAAAAAAAAAAGCAAGAAAACAAAAAAAAAGCGTTGCTCTTTTGGAAGGCGTCAGAGAGCCCTCTAGTGGCCACAGAGTTAATGCAGCAATGACTGTCCAGGCAATGGCGGACTAGAGACAGAAGCAGGCTTGGGGGCTCACAAAAGACAAAGGGGGGAGGAGGGGCAGCTCTTTTGGTTAACAGCATACTTACAACTAGGTAACTGTATTCTTAAATACTTTGAACCTGAGTAACATTTATAAATATGGTATGTGAAACCTCACAGCCACTAGTCACACTAAAATTCTTTTGCCCAGTACCTGTGCTTTCCCCAATTTCCTCTGTCACCAGCTCCTGCTTCAGGAGAGGTGGGGGGGGAGGCGGGAGCAGGCGACACCAAGAGAGCATGTCCGCCCTGCAGGTGCACCACCCGCAGGAGTGGCTGCAAACAGGCTCCGCACTCTCCGCGTCTGCTTGGACAGCTCACTGACATGGGGCACACGAAAACAGAACGGCCGGCTTCTGCCTCTCCAGACCACTTCTCAGCTGTTCACAGCTTCAAGCAATAGGTTTATTGTGCACCAAGAGGCTTGGAAGAGTGGCACCGCTGCTGGGGGGGGGGGGTCAGGGGCTTCCTACCTTGGCAGAACGATGTTAGTGTATACTACACGGTGGCGCCCAAGGCATTTCGATCCATGGCTTGTCCTTGGCCCAGAGGGGATGCGCACTGTCACAACACTCAGCAATAAAAGTCCCTGCTGCATTAGTAAGTCAGTTTGGAAGCTCTCCTGTTGTAGCAAGGTCTTTCAGTCAGTGTGGATGCAGCATTTCTGAACAGAAAATTGTTCTCACTTATCATTAGAACCAGTTCCAGCTCCTGGAAGTCTTGGAGTCGAGCAACGTCTTTGTCCTAAAACAAAACAGACTGAACGCATTAAGGGGAGTAACTTGTCTCTATATGTTTGGTGTGCTGTGTCCATACCAGAATCTCAGCTCATTTTAAGGCAAGGAAGAAAACGGAGGAGGAGAAGCAGGAGGAGGAGGAAGAGAGGAGGAAGACCCCGGTGGCAGGCTGTCGGGAGTGACAGTGCAGGGCAGTCCCCCGGGGCGTGAGCGGGGTTGGCACAGAGGCAGAAGGAAGCCCTTAACAGCAGCTGCTCCAGGATGAGCACCCCCTGAAGCGAGAGGCTACTCAGATCCATTCTCCCCAGGTGCCCTGAGAAGCCACGGATGCTGGGAGGACCACACACGTATCCATGCGGATTTGCCCTATCATTTAACCTGGTTCTTAACACAGGCCGTATCTGATAGTACACTGACGTGATCCTTACATATCACTACACAAACAACCAAAAATAGGTACATGTGACTGGTAATTCAGAACATGCTCTCTGGTATCCTACAAATTTCAAAAATGTCATGTCCCTGTAGACGCAGTAGAGGGAAGAAAGCTCAATGACAATGTCTGGAAAACCACCCTTGGCTCCTTTTTCTAGTCTCTTTTCGGTTCTCTACTATGACTCATACAGCCAAGGAGGAAGCTGCGTATTTTCCAAATGCAAAAAGCCGCCAACCACTCATGCTTAGCCGACCTTTCTTACCTTTCTCACCAGAGTATTGGGTAACTTTCTGATCTTCTCCACTTGATCTGGATCCACACCCAGCTCACAGCAACTCACTCTGAGCAATTCTTGATAGGTGAGCTCCTGTCGGTCCAGTTCAATCTCGATGAAATCATTTTCTCGAAGAGATGGGTTCTGAATCCTCACCTTGAGTACCAGCTCTAGAAATAAAGAGGGAGAAACGTTAATGGATGGGGCCTGCACCGGCAGCCGATGTAATTTAAGATCTTTTCCAGAAGACCGGTCTACATAATCATGCCCTGTGCCAAAGGCCTTGCACGGTCCCCCCGCCCCCAAGAAAACCCGCCCTGTCAGCAGCGTTAGCTCAGCCCCACTGCTGGCTCTGCTGACACTTTCCTGCACTGTCTTCCCTACATCGAAGACGGGGGTTCACAAAGTAAAAGGGAGGTGTGTCGGGGGAGACAACCATCCAGTGTGCAGAAGGACGATTTACTTCTGCTGCTGGAGCTGAGGAGGTCAAGGCATATGAGCGGGTTTGAGTATCAAACCACACACGAGCAGGACAGGGGAAGAGAGACGAAAGGAAGGCACAGGCAAGGTATGGGATGGGTGTGACTCCAAAAGGACTTAGTAACTGTGAATCTGTGAATGGAAAGGTATCTGTGAATGATGAAATTCCTTGTAATAAACACAGTGAGACAGCAGAAAGATAAGCTACTAAGAAAAAAAGACAGTCTAACTGTGATCTGAACGCAGTATACCTCAGCACGGGAGGAGTCTGGGCTTTGGGCGTAAATAACCGCTATTATTCAAGGGTCTGGGATCTGAGCCGTCTGCCCCTAAATTCTGAGCCTGGCTGCCAAGATGGCCCACGCCAAGCACCGATGTGGGTTTGGGGGCTCTGCTTTGCTCCTTACATATGAATCCTTCATGGCACTCCAAGGCCAAGGTTATCAGCACCTAAATATATTTCTTTCCTGGCTCTGTCCTCCATGCAGACCTAGAAGGTATGACACAGCTGGAGTCTTAAGTGTACGCAGTGTCCACAGCCCTGTGTCTGACCACCACTCTCCGCCAGAAAGAACCAGGAGAACTTGGAGAAACGGCTGCCTCCGGGGCTGGGGCCGGGAACATTACACTGGGAGCCTGGACCTTCTTGCAGCCCCAGAAAGTAAGGACACGCTCCAAGAATGATGGGACATGTCCAAGTGACACGAGAACTGGCTTGAAGGGGCTCCTCTGGACTGGTGTAATTTGAACATCAAGATGATGACAGTAATGAATTATAACCTAATGTAAAGAATCTACGAATTCATACTGATACAAAGTATGGAGGAGAAGGGAAGGTCCTTCTTTACAGCAGAATAGCAACTAAGTATGTAGAGAAAGGTGGGGGATCACATTCTACACGATACCTGGCCTGGACTCTTCAAAACTATTGAGGTCCAAAATGATAAGAGAAAGGCTGAGGAACCTTCCGGGTGAAAGGAAAACGGAAACATAGGATAACCAAACGCGACGGGTGACCCGGGGCGGGGGGGCGGGGGGGGCATGGGAGCAGGGTAGAAGGAGCGCACAGAGCTGCAGAGGGTACCAGGGAGATAACTGACAACATCTAAATATGGCCCGGATTAGAAAATGGTATTATAGTAAGGTTCCATTTCCTAAACGTGATCACTGGACTGTGGTTATGTAAGAGACCATCCTTGTTCTTGGAAAATACACACTTAACTATTTCAAAAGGGCAGAAGGTAAAAATTCGTGAATCTGAGTAAAGACAGCTCCTTATACTAGTCTGGCAAAATTTCCCTAAGTCTGTGATTAGAGTCTCAATACACACATAAAGCCTGCGCGCCCACCCTACCCCTCTCCACACCCCCGCATCGCACCCCTCCACGCCCCCACAACCAGGAAGGGCATCACTTGACCCCTGGACACAGGTTGCCCTGCAGTGGCAGCTGCTTCCCACCGCAGGCTTACCTTGCATATTAAATGGAAATGCCCCCGTGAAGAAGAACGGCTGGAATGCTGGCGTTGGTCCTGCATATGTCCCATTTTGAGGCTCCAGAGACACTGGTGGCTTGGGCGGGACAGAAGAGAGCAGTGAGCGGCTCTGACTCACTGGCGGCTGACAGACAGGACCTGGTTTTGTGCTTTCTGGTGTTCGGAGAATGGCAGAGGGGGCAGACACGTCCCGGTTCTGAACCAATGCCAGAGAGGTGTGGTCCCGTGGAAAGGCCCCGGCCAGGGGAGGCTCCCCCGTAGGGAGCAAGGGAGGAGAGCCATCCGCAGGGGGCGATGCCGGAGGTGTGGAGGGGCCCCCGTTCTGTAGCTGGCCTGGATCCTCTGCCGCAGGGGTGTAGATGAAAGGGAAGGCTGGGTTGGCCAAATAGTTGGGAACAAAGGGCAGTTCTGACTCCTTCTTCAGCTGGGGGAGGCTGTCGGCACCATCATCTTCTTCCACTTACAAAGAAGAAAACGAATAACATTTACACAGCCCTTTAAAAATCACCAGGAAGAGAGTGTCTTGTGAAAGCTAGTCTCCTTTGGTATGTGACATATTTTGTTCAGTGTTCACTGCCTCTTCCAATCAGAAGAGCAAAGAGCGTTTCATTAGGTTTATGATCACCATTTTTATCACCTGAAATTTTACAGATTAAAAAAATAAAACCTGGGGGCGCCTGGGTGGCTCAGGTGGTTAAGAGTCTGCCTTCAGCTCAGGTCATGATCCCAGGGTCCTGGGATCGAGCCCCATGTCTGGCTCCTGGCTCAGCGGGGAGCCTGCTTCTCCCTCTCCCTCTGCCTCTCTCCTGCTCATGCTCTCTCTATCTCTTTGTCTCAAATGAACAAATAAAATCTTAAAAAAATAATAAAAATAAATAAATAATAAATTTTAAAAAATAAAACCTGATAATGCCGACTTGTCTGGAAACCACGTGGAATTACTATCTTGGCACAGTAATATTACCTTTGCTTTTAAAAACAGATTTGTGGTTTGACTGACATCAAGAATGTGGCCAATAACCCCACAAGTCTCAATTTAGTTTGACAAAATCAAAGGTTGCCCCCAAGCACAGACTCACCTCCCATGATCTTCCTGATTTCCCTCCTTGATGTCAATTGCACTGGCATTTCTCCTTTTGTCGTAAGAATTTCTTTGTCAGCTCCTGATTGTAATAAGTAAGAGACCACCTGACCATGATTGCGCTTACATGCCCAGTGTAAACAGGTCCTGTCCCAAGAAAAGGAAAAAAGAGTGAGTTAAAAGAGGAGAGGTAGTTTGGGATTTCAAATTCCACATGCTAATCAAGAAATATATGCAAGCCCATTAAGAGTTCAGCTAGATGGGGCGCCTGGGTGGCTCAGGCGTTAAGCGTCTGCCTTCGGCTCAGGTCATGATCCCGGGGTCCTGGGACCGAGCCCCGCATCAGGCTCCCTGCTCAGCGCGAAGCCTGCTTCTCCCTCTCCCACTCCCCCTGCTTGTGTTCCCTCTCTCGCTGTGTCTCTGTCAAATAAATAAATAAAATCTTTAAAAAAAAAAAAAAGTTCAGCCTAGAATAAGGAAGCCAGGCTGGCAACCTCAACTTTCCTTGTCAGAAAGCAGGTGATCAAAATGTTTAGTTATGCTTGAAATTTATTTCTAAATTTCATTATGGGCCCTTGGGAAAAACCAATTTATTCTAGGGGCTTTCATTTCAATGTCTTCCACGAAGCTGGCTGGCTGGCTAACTCTAATGGTACTGCTGAGTGGTCTTCCATCAGTAATGCTCATTAGATTGTCCCAGTCTCTTTAAAATGTTTTTATAGTGCCACATTCCTTTTTAGGGGTAATGGCAACTTGCTTCATATGCACTAAATGACACATGAAGATTAAATATTATCAGGCTAATAATCATCTACAGCTCTGCTGCTAAAATTATTATTGCTATAGATATTCCCAGCTGAATCTCAGCTGCTCCCTCTTTTCCTTTTCCTTCCTTCACACACACACACACACACACACACACACACACACACACACACACACAC